GGATTACTTTATGAGCTATAGTACTTGCCCCCTTCGCTTCAAGACAGTTCAAGAATGAAAAGCCAGAAAAATATTTGCAGTTCCTAGAAGTCGCAAAAGGCCTTCGGCCCAAGTACTAAGCAGACAGCTGGGACGGATTGTTATGTTTTCAACGTGGCATGCTGGCAGGCAGTCTGTGTCCCAGAGTTCCAACATAACTCTTATTTCGCCTACTGGGAATGATTGGAGGTAGGAATTGGGAGCGGGAGCGAGGTTTGTCGGGGAAGATGGGGTCCTGTAGATTTTTTTATGTTCAGCAGAGACTTTGATGATGGAGGAAGTTGGTTATCTTGAACATGACACCTAAAGTCCTACCTGGAGCGTAAATCCAGTGCTGCGGTATTCGTGACTCGGATCGGACCAGAAATAAGTGCTATTGCGCGGCCGACCCGAGCTTGCGTAATTGCGCAACCGGGCCAAGCTTTTATTAGTTGCGCACTTGTTCCAAAAGACGCTGGAAATACCCTCAGTGAATAACAGGGTTAAGGATTACGTCAGGAAGTAAGATGGTCAAAAATCCCATATTCGCTCTCAGTTAGGGGCAGAGGCACTCGAGAAGTAGCCCCCGAGTGGTAGCAAATGCCAATAGCAACTAATTGCTGGCAAAGTTGTGGATGGTACCTTTTTTTTGAAGGTTGCGCACAAACAAGCTGATGGCAGGGTTGCTTACAAGCAAGAAACACATTTGAGAGGAAAGAACACATTTGTAGGAAGAGAGAAGCGATCCAGAACCGGGACCGGGTGAAATGTACATAGAAACTCCAGCAAAAAGAGAAGTAGCAACACGCACCAGACTATCCGGTGCGATCATGCGTTTTGTGTGATTCCGCTCATCGAATGATTGCCTATTAATGATTTTCACTGTTTTGTACTTTAGTCTACGCAAAAATAGTTGGAACATTGAAAAATAGTCGAAAATTTCACGCACCTGCGCATGAAAGCTGCATTCGAAACCTTGAGAGGTGAATATCTTCCCGTGCTTCCCGAGTTAATAGCTTACCCGCAAAAACCTTCACTAGCCAAGAGTGCAGGAACGCTAAATTTGGATAGACAAGATTGCGCATGAGCGGGGGGTCATTACCCTAAAATTTCAACTTCCTAGACTCCGTGGTTCCCGAGATAATAATTTACCCGTCA